CTATAGTTATGTCTAACCTAGCATTGACATAATCACAATCAATTTAGCAATTCAATTGTTAAAGTTGTTAAAGAATTTAAAGATTTAATTCATGCATCAATAATAATAGGGTTACACTAGATCTTGAATTAAAGAATCTACTCACACATGATTAAAGAAACAAAAACAAAAATATATAATGAAAACATAATTAAATAACAAAGGATGAAAAATAAATACCAAATCTTGAATAAAATTGAAAGTAGAAAGCTTGAATCTTGAATCTTGAATTACAAAAACTTAGAAAATAATAATGGAGAACTAGTTCTTAATAACGTAAAAATAAAAGGCTAGAATAAAACTAATGAAATAATAAAACACCACTTAGTATATAAATAGCCCTAGAAAAGATAAGAAAGTCGACAAAAAGCTTGGCGCACAAGGATCCTAGGAGGCACGGACGTGCCTAGTGTGAGGCACGGACGTGCCTCTCTAAAAATAAAAACGCTGCTGAGTCTGTCTTCCAGGCACGGACGTGCCTGGTGATGGGCACGGACGTGTCTGCTCTGCTGCGCGTATCACTCATCTTAAATCAGTCATAACTTCATATCCGGAGCTCCGTTTGAGGCGTGTAATATATCGTTGGAAAGGTCTTCAAGTCTACTTTCCAATGCAATTTGAATCACTCCATTATCATTTGTATACCAAAAGTTATGATCATAATATTGAACAGATGTCATATTTGTCAAGTATTTCATCAACGTTTTGCTTCATTTTCACTCAAGTTCGTCTCGAACACATGATTTAATATTTGTGGGCCTCGGCATAGCTTCGTGACTTCGTAAAATCTCCAAATTAGCTCCGTTAATCCTGAAATACATCAAAAACAACGAAACTACCCATAAAAGCATCGAATCATTGAAACTAAACCAAATTACACCAAAACGGACTCAAATACTCAACTAAACTAACAAAACTAACTAAAAATAAGCCAAATAATATACACAAAACACGACATATCATCTATGATCGCCTGCACTTTTTCGGGGTTAGCCTCTATGCCCCTTTGATTGATAAGAAATCCGAGGAACTTTCCAAACTCAACTCCAAAAACACACTTCTTAGGATTGAGCATGACTTGGTGCCGCCTAAGTGTGGTGAATGTTTCTCAGAGGTTGCCCAAATGGTCCGTCTTGAGTTTAGACTTCACTATCATATCATCTATGTATGCCTCGACGTTCCTTCCAATTTGATCAAAGAACACCGTGTTTATCATTCTCTGGAAGGTGGCCGGAGCGTTCTTTAGACCAAACGACATGACCGTGTAACAGTATAGGCCCTGATCTATGACAAAGGCCGTCTTCTCTTGGTCTTTCTTCCATAAAGGAATCTGATGGAAACTAGAGTGGGCGTCCATGAAACTCATTAAGGCGTGGCCGGCTGTAGAGTCAACTAGACTGTCGATCTTGGGCAATGGATAACTATCTTTGGGGCATGCCTTATTCAATTATGTGTAGTCCACACACATGCGCCACGTACCATTCGGCTTTTTCACGAGTACAACGTGTGCAACCCAGTCAGGGAAATAACACTGCCGAATGAACCCTGCATCATGTAGTTTTTTTAACCTCGGCGGCAGCCGCTGGCTTCTTTCCTCACCATGGTTCCGTTTCTTTTGCCTGGCCGGCTTCTTTTTCGGATCCACAGCTAACTTATGCACTACCAAGTCTGGACTGATACCTGACATCTCATGTACCTCAAAAGCAAAAATATCCTTGAATTCCTTCAAAAGTTGGTGAAAATTATCACCAAGTGCCGCAAGAGCAGTCGTCCCAACCTTAACTGTTCTTTCAGGGCGTGAGTCGTCCAGGACGACATCCACATGTTCACCAGCCGACTGAGGGCGGAACTCATCTGACCGCTCCTCGGCCAATGATTGCTATCGCTTTTCCTTTCTTTCGGCCCCCAGTTGAGCATCCTTTCTTTTCTTGCCGCCTGCTACTTGGGCAAGCGCATCCTCCTTGATTTTCTCAAGGTCCGTTTTCTCTCCACTTGGGCCAGTAGTCGCCACAGTGGGTTTAATATCCGAGAGGTAACACTCTCGTGGCATTTTCTGGTCTCCCCTTAGGGAGCCGACTATCCCATCATCCTTCTCAAACTTGAGCAGCATGAGAGATGGAATGATGACAACTTTGGAATTGTTCAGGGTGGGTCGCCCTAAGATCATGTTATAGGCCGAGAGCTCTTCAAAAACTAAGAACCGGACCACCATGTGACGGCACTCCCCTTTCTCACCCAGACGGATGGGTAGATCCACCCGTCTCCGTGGGTGTACAACGCTTCCTCCAAACCCCACTAAAGGGTGAGATACCGGATGTATGCAGTCAGGTTTGGACTTGAGCTTTGCCAAGCACTTGTTACTAATTAGATCAGAGGAACTGCCGGTATCTATGAGGATCCGGCCAACTCTTTGGTTGGCCACTTTGCACTCAATTACAATAAGGTCGTCATGCGGCCCCCTAACGCCTCCCAAGTCTTCCTCTGTGATGACAATTTCTGGGAATGAACTCTTGGAGGTCCGTCCTTGGTTGACGGAATCAACATCTAGCCGCCTGATGTTATCTTTGTGGCCCCTAATTGTGGGGCCGCCTCCTGCGAAGCCGCTTGCTATAGTATAGACAACAACGTCGTCAGTGTCAGAACTGTCAACTGACCGGTTCTTCTTTTTGACCGCCTGTTTTTGTTTGGGGGGTGCATTCCCCTTGGACTTCTTGACATAGGAGTCAAGATCCCCTTTATTTGTCAGGCAGTCCAGAAGACGCTTGAGGCTGATACATTCATTGGTTTCATGACCAATGTCTTCATGAAAGTGACAGTATTTATCTTGGTTCCGATTGCTGGCAGAACCTTTCATAGCGGCCGACTTCTCAATTGAGATTCGACCCTTGATTTCATTGAGGATAGTGTGGCTATCCTTGTTGAACTCGTACTTTGGGGAGTAGGGTTTAAACTCCTTTTTCTTTTTCTGGGACGGCTGTTCAGAGGAGTTGGCCGCCCAAATTTCTTTTCTCTTTTTCTCTTCTTTATTCGCCAACTGCTTTGGTCGACTCTCTCTTTTGTCGGACTTCTTGTGGTCCGACTGTTTTCCAATGCTGCAGAGGTCGGTCGCCTGAATGTAGGCGTCCGCCTCCATCATTGCTTCTTGGAGGGTGGTCACCCTCTTTCTGACAATGTCAAATTTGAAGATTGACCCGCCTTTAATCCTCTGAAAAAATCGGTATAGGCTACCTCATCCGGCAGCCCCTGTATTTGGATCCTCATCAAGTCAAACCGCCTGATGTAGGAATGCTATCCCTCCTTCTCTCCTTGCTGTATAGTCCCTAAGTCAAGCGTCGTCTTCTTAGCAGGGATATTCATCGCAAAATTTGAGGTGAACAAGTAAGCGAGGGTCTTGAAACTGTTTACACACCCGGTCGGCAGGTTGCCGAACCATTGTTAGGCGACGCCCTTCAAGGTGGATGGGAAGCACTTACACCATGTGCGATCATCAAACCCTTGAAGGTACATAAGGTTGGTGAACGTCATCAGATGATCTTCTGGGTTTGTAGTGCCATCATAGGCTCCTACCAACACATTCTTCACTTTGGTCGGCTGGGCGGCCTCAACTATTTCCTTGGAGAAGGCGGACGGCTGTTCTCCAAGTCTAAGCAACCTAAGTTGCCAGTCCAAAGGCTGGAAGTTTCTTGCCGCCTGTCCCCCAAACAGAGTAGGCTGCATGAAATATTGAGGTTGTGGCACATATGGCTGGGGTGGCACATATTGAGCCGCCTAGTTTTTCTGGGGGTCGGACCGGTGGGAGGTACTGCCTGTCTGGCTCTCATAGTTCGAATTTGAATACCTCAAGGAAGTTTTAAACTATCTTGAAAATCAGATGTAGAGGCCGACTCTGACAGTCGGTCATTCTTCTGTTGCTCTAGCAACATTCGAGCATCGGAATATGTTTTCTTCGACCCATCCGGTTGAATATGACGGATGGGCTTTCTCTTTCCTGGTGAGGGAAAACGATACTTTGTTAGGTCGATCACTGGCGGCTGCCTTGCCCCAGGCTTTGGGTAAGGGGTCGCCTCACGATCTTTCACAAGCTTCTTCCTCCCAGATTGGGAAGGTCTTCTGGCCGACTGCTCCTTGGATGGAGCATGCGTCTTCTTATTGATGAGATCCTGGATCTCCCCTTTGAAGCTATTCATGAAGGTCATGAGTTCACTTCTAGTGATGGGGGCAGATCCCTCGGCTGCCTGTTGATGATCAAGCGGCTGGCCGGCAGGTTTACTAGATCCAGCCAGGCAATCCTGTCGTTCCTTCCTTTCGGAGGAACGAGTTCGACGAGCTCTTAAGGTCCTGTCTCGGGCCGTGTGAGTCCCGACCTCGACCTCATAGTCGGTATCCTGGTCACTATAGATCTAAGGGTCGTCCATAGGACGCTTCTCGCTTTGATTCGGTACAGACTGTGATGCCATCTCGAAAGTACTCTCCCCACAGACGGCGCCAAAATGTTTCGGGGTTTTTTGATGTCCTGCGGGAGAGTTACAATTCCGGGACTAGTATCCTTGCACCTGTACTTGCAAAACAACGGAGACTCCTTGTGGTGGGAGCTCCGTCTCCGACGGTCAAGTCACTAGTACATAATTGACTTTATGTAACATGTAATTGGTAACACTTCTTGAAATGCAAAATATTAGAGTAATAAGTAACACTTAGGTAACACTTTATTAGAAAGTAACACTCAATGTAACACTTTTAACATAAGTAACACTCCATAGTAACACTTTTAAAAAAAAGTAACATTTTAGGGTAACACTATGAGGTGTTACATTATTGAATACTTGAATTAGGTAACATTTTTTGTAACACTTTAATATTAGGTAACACTTTACAGTAACACTTTGATATTAGGTAGCACTTGATTGTAATAACACTTTGATATTAGGTAAAATTTGGTTGTAAATTTAATTTGATATAATTTTTTTTTTTAAAAATCGTCATAGCCTCACAACTCTTTTCCTCCCTCGTATTTCTCGGTTTCTCCATCAAGCTTGATGGAGCTTCTCGCTCTCAGTGCTCCACCGCTATCCCTTTCTCCCTCCCAGTGCGACACTGTAGCCCCCACCTACCGCAGCCTACCCCTATCGCAACCTGTGCTCCCATAAGGAGTCTGCACTGATTATCGCTCCACCGCCTTGCTCACCAGTCCTCCGCCGAACCCACCGATCCATGGCCAACCGCCACACCTCGATCTCCGCTGCATCGCTACGCCGTCACTTCACTATACAGGTAAGCTTCGAATTTCTGAAACATTATTGTGATGAATGAATTGTGAATTTGTGATTGTAAAAATATGTATAATTGGGTTTAGTGATTAAATTTATGATTTAATCTGAATTGGGGGTACAATTATACTTGATTTCTTATTTGGGGGTTTTGTAAATTACTCTGATATGTTAATTAATTTATTGAATTGGGTAATTTGCAATTGAATTGAGTGTTGTTTTAGGGTTCTAACTCTAATAATTAAACTTTAGTTAAGGGATTAGTATAATTAGTCAGCTCTAAATGCTAACAATCATTTCTGGGTATTCACCAGCATTCCTCAAAAATCCATAAAAATTGGTGAAATGGGTGATTCGTAATGAAAGCAGTTGTTATAACAAGCCCATGAGGTCCAGAAGTATAGAAACTAGAAGAGGTAGAAGACCCCCAAATCAAAGACGATGAAGTTTTGATCAAATTTGAAGCAACTACACTTAATCAAGCAGCTATCATTTAGAGGAAGGGCTCTTTGGAACTATCCTGCTCTAGAATTGAATGTTCTGGAACTATCCTTCTATTTGGCAACAATGTCACTCACTGGAGAGTTGGTGATCAGGTTACAAACTTTTAACTTTTCTGCTTCAATTTTCCCATTATTTGCAATTGTTTGGAGGTTGGTGATTTGGGTTTTCATAATTTTCAATAATAGCTAGTTATAATCTTGACAATTTTTTATATGTGGGGTGTGATTAACTAGTAGTTCTTGTTCTGGATGCGATTAAATTGATTGATTAATCATGTTAATCTGTGCATTTTCTCTTTGCATTTGATATGGGTTATTTATAATGGAATGTGATAAATTTTGGTTCAATAAGTTGTTAATTGATGGTAGTGGAGGTAACCTAAATATTGTTATATAAGCTAGATGTATGATTGGTGCAACGGAATGATTAGTAATGCTAAAGATGAAATGTATTTAGAGCTGGCCAAAATTGCCTCCGATAGATTTTATTTTACCTGTGCTAAAGTTTCTTGTATCACATTTTGAACCATGTGGATCCTAGTGGGAAATTGGCATGACTAGATTTGCATTTAACGAACAGCTTTATACAACATAGGTTTTAATTAATTCATTATTACTTGTCTTTATTCATTAAATAAAGAAATATATCTCATGAAACTAACTAAAAAGATTGTGTGGGCATATTTGCTATGGATCAAAATCACAAAGTTACTTTAAGTGCAATTGTAAGATAATCAGAATGTGACTATATCCTCTTAATCTAGTATACTTTTAGTTCATTTTTGCACATAAATCTATAATTCCTTATTTTTGTTTACTCATTCACTACCCAAGAAATCATTGTTGGTCGGACTGCTTATACATACTGCTCGCTAATTCTTGCAGGTATTTCCCCCAATTTCTACTTTTTTATTTCTTCAATTTCATAAATTAGTGTTTTTTCTCACCACAATGCTCGATTTGATGATCGCTGCACAATTAATTATGTATTCGGTAAATTTTGTTTGGGAAGTGCAAAATTGATTTAGAATAATGGCAGCTTAGAAACTTCCACCCCATCTTTCAAGCAACCGTAGTAAACAGCTACAAATCCACCTATTCCTAGTTCTCTCCGAAAGCCTTTTGTAAGGTTTGTAAGGCTAAGCTGGTTATTGGTTGTGCAACACAGAAGCTTGTGGTGTGATTTTTGTAAGCTAGTGATTTAGTGTTGTGTAACAGAGAAGCTCTGACTCTATTTTGCAGATTGAATTTAATTGAGGTTTGATATTATAGTAGCAGTTGAATACCTATGAGCTGTTGAATATTTAGAGGGACATTCTTAATTTCATCAGGACCCAAATTACATTTAGTTTACTGTTGTATTACCCTTATACTAAGAATATGTTAGAAATTAATCTAGATTGCGTTTGTGTGCAGTCAGGTGCTCTTTCTGTGCTTAGGTATTTAAATTTGCAGTCACTTAGGTGCTCTTTTGCTCTTTCTGTGCTTAGGTATTTGAATTTGCAGTCAGTCAGCTGATTTTTCTTTTTTCCTGACTCTCTCTCAATTTTTCTTTTTCTGCTTAAATTCGTGGAAAAAAAAAAATTAATGCCTTGGAATCTTATGGTGGTTGGTTTGTATGTCGTAGTTCTGAATCCTATGATTACCAAACTTAATGCCTGCAATACCCTTTCTACTAAGATTATGGAAGATATTAATAATCTAGACTTTGTTTTATGCGAAGTCAGGTGATTGGGTGCTCTTTCTCTACTCAGGTGCTCAGGTACTTGAATCTGCAATCAGGTGGGATCATAATTGTCTGCCTAACTAAGGTATTAAGCTCTTAAACCCGTATTCGATCCTAATCAATGAAAGTGCCCAGTAGAGGTCCTATGACATGCATAAGTCTACACGACAAAGGTTTATGCATTTGGCAGATTGTGCTGACGATGATATAGCCTCAAAGAATTTGGCGCAGACAGTAGCTAAAAAACTGGTTCTGCTATAGCTTGTGATGATGATATAGCCTGATTCTGCTCTGAGTCAAAGCCTGTTTTTCCGAGTCTATATCATTTTAGCATGTTACTTAGGCATCCGTTTAATAAGTATCCAATAAAACATGTTACTTGGGCATCCGTTTAATAAGTATTCATTTCATGAAAAGCAGTAAACGAAATTGAAATCACTATGACGCATATAAGGTTTCAAACTTTGGTCACTTGATTAATTTTTGTACAATATTTTATGTTTGATTTTATTTAGCTTTTTTTAACGTTGGACTCACTAAAGAACTCGATATTTGTCAAATTCACAATATCACTGCCTTATGTTTATACACCCACATATCTTTCTATTGGCTGTTTATACAAGTCCCTAGCACATTTTCAAATAAGTTTTTTTTTTTTTTTTTGCTCTATGCCGTATATAAATGGATCATTATTTTACTCTCACAAACAATATTTTGGACCTACCGTTATCTTCTCTCATCAATATTAAACAACCAAAAATTAATAAAGTGAGCATACATCATGGGGCAAAAGGGTAGGGGGGTGTATTATTATTGAGTAGATGTTGTATGTACATTTATAGATTCAACAACTCTAAACAAAACAGAAGATGAAAAGGAATAGAGAATTAGAGATAAGCTAATAGGAGTATTAGTATTACGGATTACTTCTCATTTTTGCTTGGGCCTATGTGGCGTTATCTGAATTAATATCTGATGTATGTCATACTTGAGCCCTGCCAGAGTTTTAGTGGATACTTATTAAACAGATGCCCATGTGTTACTTGGGCATCATGATTGTGATTGTGATATAGACTTTGGCAGAGACAGTAGCTGAAATGCATAGAAGAATTTGGTAGAGGTGGTAGCTAAAAAACTAGTTTGTGATAGTTTTATTTATGTCTTTTCTGGAGTTTGTGTGACCTACAGGTACAACCTACTGGATGGGTGCCATCAAGGAAAGTACTTTTGATTGTGTGAGATTACTAAGGCTTCCTTCAGTTGGAGCCTACTGGATGTCTGCTGCTCTTAGTGTTGTGCGCTGCTTTCATTGCTGTCTGCTGCTACTGTTAGTTGCTGGTCTGGTCTGCAGATGCGCGCTGCTTTCATTGCTGTCTGCTGCAATCTTTTGTTACTGCTAGCGGTCTAGTCTAGAGACCGAAGTTCATGACTTTCTTTTTGTTTTGTTTATTAGATTACTTAACCAAACAAAAAAAAATTGGTGTTGGTTGGATTTTTTGTAAGAAACTATTAAATTTGATCAATTCAAATTATTGGTGTTTCCTGGATTTTTTTTTTGTAGTAGTAGTTGTAATAATAACAATAATAATAATAAATATAACCTATTAATGAATAAAGTATTACATACATTAGCTTGCAAAAAGTGATACATAATGTCGAATAAAGTGCTACTATATGTCAAAAGATGATTGAAAAATGTTACCTAATAATCAACAAAGTGTTACATTAGATTGAAAAAGTGATATATAATGTCGGATAAAGTGATACATAATGTTTGAAAAATGTTACTAAAGATAAGTAAGTGTTACTTAAAAAATAAAAAGTAACACTTTAAAAATGATACTAATGATATAAAAAAGTGTTACATAAGAGGTTATATAGTAACACTTTGAAAAGTGTTACCATATGTTGTCCAAAGTGTTACATAAGACCTTAGGTAACATGGGCGGATGTATCACCCACTAAAGTGTTACCTATTGTCTATAATAACACTTTTACCGCTTTTAGTTGAGGTTAGTTTTGTACTAGTGAGTTAGTACTTGTTTGAGGAGTAATAAGTGCGGAAAAGTAAAGGTGGGAGATCTGGTTCCTCAAGGTGAGGAGTGATCATTGTGTTTTGGCTTCTCTAGGTCAAAGTAATTAATTGCTAAAAATCCCCTTTAATGAGGATTAATTAATGTACTTATAGCCTTGGGAAGCGTGCCTAATTTTAGGGTTTTTGGTAAACCCTAGATCCGTCTGGGCTTCCCCGGGAAGTGGGCTTAGGTGGCCTCCTTCCAAGCTGGCAATCAATAGGCCACATGGCGTGGCTTGACTGGTCCATGGTGGACAAATGGCCGGGTGCCACGTGGCAGGCCCTGAGTGGTCCAAATGGAGGACACTTGGCAAGACCTAATTGGTCCACATGGCGTACACTGATTGGTCGGGGGAAAAACCCCCTAATCAGTAAACATATGTTTCACATGAAGGAACCAAGTCCCATCTTTTCTACATGACCCTTGAAACCATTAACTGGCATGCCTTTGGTCAAGGGATCAACAATCAACAATCCAGTACTAATGTATTCTATGATCACTTTCTTTTCTTGAACACATTCCTTTACGGCTCGAATTTCATGTCAATGTGTTTGCTTTTACTTCCACTCTTATTATTCTTAGCCATAAAAACTGCAGCTGAATTGTCACAATACATCCTTATTGGGCGAATGATAGAGTCAACAACTCTTAACCCAGATATGAAACCTTTTAGCCAAACACCATGTGAGGTAGCCTCGTAACAAGATATGAACTCAGCCTCCATAGTAGAAGTAGATATTAAGGTCTGTTTTGCACTCCTCCAAGAGACGACACCATCAGCTAGCATGAACACATATCTTGAGGTGGATTTTCGTGAGTTAATGCAGCCACCTTAATCGGAGTCAGAATAGCCCACAACTTCAAGATCTTTCGTTCGTCTATACATAAGTATGTAATCCTTGGTACCCTGAAGGTATCTCAACACTTTCTTTGCAGCCTTCCAGTGATCAAGACCTGGGTTATTTTGATATCTTCCCAATACTCCAACATCATATGCAATGTCAGGTCTAGTGCAAACCTGAGCATACATAATGCTTTCAACAACTGAAGCATAAGGAATATTTCTCATTTGTTCCCTTTCAAGGTCATTCCTGGGACATTAGTCCAAACTGAACCGATCACCCTTTACAATAGGTGCTACAATTGGTGAACAATTTTTCATATTAAATTTGTCAAGTATTTTGTTGATGTAAAGCCTCTTAAGACAGACCCAAAATGCCTCGAGATCTATCTCTATGTATCTTAATGCCTATAACATAATATGTCTCACCCATATCTTTCATATCAAAACTACTTGAAAGAAATTGTTTCACTTCATGCAACAACCCTTTATCATTAGTTGCTAGCAAAATATCATCCACATATAACACAAGGAAACAGATCTTACTCCCACTAACCTTGTGGTATATACATTGATCCATGACATTTTCTTCAAAACCAAACGAAGTTATCACTTTATGGAACTTCATATACCATTGGCGAGAAGCCTGTTTCAGTCCATATATGGATTTATTAAGCTTACAAACCAAATGCTCACCTTTTTCAGAGAGGAATCCCTTAGGTTGTCCCATGTAAACCTCTTCCTCTAAGTCACCATTCAGAAAAGCTGTTTTCACATCCATTTGATGTAACTCAAAATCAAAATGAGCTACTAATGCCATAATCACTCGAAGAGAGCCTTTTTTCGATACGGGAGAAAAAGTCTTCGAGTAGTTGATTCCTTCTCTTTGAGTGCACCCTTGAGAAACAAGTCTAGCCTTATGTCTCTCAATGTTGCTTGATGAGTCTTTATTTGTCTTAAAGACCCATTTACATCCAATGGCTTTTACACCATCGGGCAACTCAACGAGATCCCAAACTTTATTAGACGACATAATCTCATCTTTCATGGCACTTATCCACAAGTCCAAATCCTTTGAACTTGTGGCTTGTGAAAACGTAATTGGATCATTGTCAGCTTCAACATTATAATCCGGTTCTTGTAAATACACCTCAAAATCATCAGAAATAGCTGATCTTCTCACTCTAACGAATCTCCTTAAAGGAACTTGATCAATGTGTTGATCATCCAAATTTTCCTCATTTGTATTATTATCCATTAAATTATTATCAGCATTTTATGGAAATTCATTGGCTATTGGTTATCTTACGTCCGTTTGAACTTAAGGAATGTGAACAACAACCATCTTATCACTTGAATTAGAAGGTGGAACTTCAATGTGATCCTTTTCAGGAACATTGCCCCGAAATTGATCACTCCCACTAACAAAGTCAATCTCAAGAAATTTTGTATTTCTCGATTTCACAATTCTAGTGCTGTGAGATGGACAATAGAATCTATACCCCTTAGACTTCTCGGCATATCCAATGAAATACCCACTAATAGTCCTTGGGTCAAGCTTCTTTTCTTGTGGGTTGTAAATTCTTACTTCGGACGGGCATCCCCAAATGCACATATGGAGCAAACTTGGTTTCCATCCTTTGAACAACTCAAAAAGCATCTTAGAGACAGCCTTGGATGGAACCCGGTTTAATATAAATGCTGCCGTCTTAAGAGCTTCAATCCATAAAGATGGTGGAAGTGTAGCATTGCTTTGCATGCTTCTTACCATCTTTATTAAGGTCCTATTTCTCCTTTCTGCTACACTATTCTGATTCGGAGAACCGGGCATGGTGTATTGGGCAACAATCTCATGCTCTTGAAGAAATTTTGCAAACGGACCACATGCTTGTCCATTTTCGGTGTATCTACCATAGTACTCCCCACCTCTATCTGATCTCACGATCTTAATGTGCTTACCACATTGTGTCTCTACTTCAGCCTTAAACAATTTAAAGGCATTCAAAGCTTCATCCCTGGAATGAAGTAAGTGAAGATACATGTATCACGAATAATCATCAATAAAGGTGATGAAGTATTTCGGGTCTTTAGCGTTCATGTTCGGACAACAAATATCCGTATGTATGATCTCTAATAGGTCAGAACTCCTCTTAGCCCCCTTTTTAGATTTGTTAGTTTTCTTTCCTTTAATGCAACTAACGCATGTCTCAAAATCAGCAAAGTCTAGAGTATCAAGTACCCCATCCTTTACTAACCTTTTGACTCTCTCAATGGAGATGTGTCCTAATCTCCAGTGCCAAGCATAGAGGATTTTTCATTCATAATACATCGTTTTAAACCAATATTAACATGCAAGGAATTATGAGTGATATCATTTTGCAATTTAAGACAATATAAACCATTAGAAAAAAATACCATAACCAATAACTTCAGCATTTCTTGATAAACTGAAACTAATATCTGAAAAATTATAGGAAAATCCCAAAGGTACAAGTCTTGAAACTGAAATCAAATTCTAGAGAAATTTGGAGCATAAAATGTCCTTTCTTAATGCAAAATAAAACCACTACTTAGAGTTAAGCTGCATGTCCCAACTGCTTCCACATGCGAACTCATCTTGTTGCCTGAATAGATGTTATTTTCACTACCCATTGGTTTCCTTAGGTTTTTCATACCCTGCAAGGTATTCGAAATATGGATTATAGTACCAGAGTCAATCCACCATGTATTAGAATTAACATTAACCATATTAGATTCATAACAAACAAACGCTAGAAAATTACCTTTCTTCTTAAGCCAATCCTTAAACTTGGTGCAGTCTTTCTTCATGTGTCCCTTCTTTTTACAAAAGAAACACGTAAACTCCTTCTTAATGGATGGTTTTGCTAGAATATTTCCCTTTTACTTAGTGTGATCCTTTTTCTTCTTTTCAGAAGTTGTGAGATTCACCTTTTCGCCCTCTTCCATAGCTAATCTTCCTTCCTCTTGAACACACATGGTCATAAGTTCATTAATTGACCATTTATCTTTATGTGTGTTGTAAGAGACTTTAAAAGAGCCTTATTAATTAGGAAGGGTGCATAGAATAAAATGCACTAGGAAAGAGTCAGACATGGTAACTTCCAAATCCTTTAGTTGAGCTGCTATATCCCTCATGCGCATGATATAATCACGCACTCCCTTGGTCTCAGTGAGCTTCATGGATGAAAATTGCATGATTAAGGTGCTAGCAAGAGCTTTGTCAGAACTTGCAAACTGCTCATCGATGGCCTTAATGAGTTCTTTGACATTAGTATGCTTACCGACAGAACCACGAATACTAGCACATATTTTAGTCTTTATGAACATAACGGAGAGACGGTTAGACCTCTCCCACTTTCATAAAGACTATTGCAACACTAGTGCTATCCTCCGTTATGACAGGTGGTTCGTCTTTCCTAATAGCATAGTCAATATCCATCCATCATAATTGCGGTAGCACTCTTTCTTTCCACACCTTATAGTTATCACCCCTTAGTTCAGGAATGTCACATTTGACATCAGAAATATTTCCAGGCAAAACTGCTGCAAAAATAAAAATAAAAATAAGAAATGCTTAATATCAATATTTAGACTTTAAACTAAAATCTTGCTTTACCAATGTAAATCATGCATAAAGTACATAAATCTAGTGACATAAAACTTGCCTGTGGGCTAAAGTTCTACTCAATTAGATAAATATAGTATAATAATCATACGCTGAAACTATTAAATTATATCAATTTCTTAATTTCTTGTGGGCATTTAAGAAATAAAGTTTAATACTTCACTTTAATTAATCATTCTAATATAATAAAATTAATGTGGGTAAGTCTTATCATATCATAGAGGATTAATTACAAACAAATGTCTAGTTTCCACATGTTATTTCTAAATAAAATTTTAATAAATAAAGGTGTTGTGGCTACTCTTTAAATAATAAAATTTTAAAACACTTTACATTTACATAATTTAATTCATTATATAGATTTCATCACAAAAACATCACATATATACTCAAGCTTTTATTTAAAATAGGAAATTAATAATCCTTTATGAGGTTGAGGGCATTTACAATAAATTAAGGCTTTAAATACATCCATAGCAATTTATTATTTTCTTGATGATCAAACTGGTATGAATGGTGCCCGTTTTAAGGCTCAAAAAAGATGAAGAAGCAATACAGGACAAGATTCGTCATACTTTCTCGATCTCCAGATTAGAAGGTATTCTAAATGGCATAGATTATCAAGCACAGAATAAACCCTAGTTTTACAGCAACTTAAGGCTCAGATTCATAATGTTAATTAACAAACAACTACAAACAATTGAAAGGTAATTGAGCTGAATATAATAGTATAACTCAGGTATCCCAAGGACTTGACACTATACTGACTAGAAAACAAAAACTAATACGAAGTGTATAAGAATCAGTGTGAGTGTGTTCAACAAATGTACACTAAGTCATAAGTTCAACAAACAAAAACAGTTGTGGATCAATGCCACATTTTAATGGAGCAAGACCTCTAGCATTGGCAAATAACTGAAATAAGTACATGCATAAGCATCGCAACATATTTGCCACATCATTAGACATACTCTAATTAAGTAGCAAGATATGCAAAATATACCATCATTGAAAACGATGCATGCAGAATTGCAGAGTATATGCATACTTTATATATACTTATATGTGCAAAAATTATATAGATGTGTAAATATATGAATTGCATCACCATTATCCAAAAATACACAGTAAAGGCAAAAATATAAATTGCAGCACTATTATCCAATTACACGACAGAGGCGAAAATATACTTGAGTAAGCAAGGCATAGGATGAACATGGCTCTGATACCAAATGTAAAACATTAATAACAAACAACATGTTCATAGCTTGAATTATAAACATACAATACATGATTGCGAAAGCATTAATTTATGAGTATACCTCCAGCCATTGCAAGTTAACTACGAGGAAAACAAAGACCTGAACAACCTCATCACGACGGCAATATCGTGAAAGAACTTTTTCTTAACTTTGATGCTAGACCCTCACTCTCACTTTTGATGGTGTTTATGTGTTTTGAGAGTTGGATGCAGTGACCTGGTAGCCGTGATAAGACTCACGTTGAATGACATATATATAGGGAGTTTTGCCATCAAAAACTCCTATTTTACGTGAGTTAGTTATGAGTGGTTTCTTAAAAAGTGGGATAATGGGCAGTAAGTTTCCTTGATCTTGGGAAACTAATTTTCAAAATAAATGGACCACTTAACTTAATTAATAATTATCTATTTTCAAAATAATTCAAAATAAATCCAACACAATTCACATTTGGTGCGCTTTGATGTGGTTAAATGTTGACATAGAGGAATGAACTAGTCGATTTTCAGGTGAATGAAAAGAAGTTTTCGTTACCAATAATACCTCGAATCCTCGAGTCATCAATGACTCTAGAATTCTAAAAATACCATTTATAATACTAATTTGTACTTAGTAGATATCCATCTAGGTACCAAAATACTTCTTCATTAACACCAACAACCATATAATTAACTTAGAATATTATCTTTGTTGCTACCACATACTTCATTGTTAAATAATAAACCAACACCATTCAAAGAATATTAGCATGAAAAAGATTATAACATAGAAGTTAAAATTTTCAATTCAACTTGAGATTTATGGTAATTTGAGCTTGAAATATTAAGCTCGAAACTCAAGACTTGACTCAAATTCAAATAAAAGTGTAACAAGTTAAGCTTAAACAAACCAAGCTCATTCTTAACCCACTTCAAATAAAACTAATAAAAATACTTATTGAGAAAATAAGTCCAATGTGAATGCCCACTAATCAGTTGATTTGATAATACTATGCTTAAATACATTCACAAGCTTGCGAACTCATATGCATACATAGAGGTGTCAAAAACCGATCCGAAAATGATCATCTGTTTCGAATTGTAATCAATCTGATTTGACCCGAGAAATTCGGGACCCAAATTCGATCTATAACCGACCTGAACTTAATCCAAATTCGAATTTAACCCGATCTGAACTTAACCCGGCACCAATTTGACCCGACTTGAACTTAACCCAAACCCGATATGACCCAACTTGAATTCGAATCGAACTGATTTTACCCAACTTGAACTCAACTCGATCCGAAAATGACCCGATAAATAACCGATTTAATCCGATCTGTTTTAATCCAAACTGATATTAACCCGACCCGATTTTAAACCGATCCGATCTTAACCCGGCCATAAGTTTAAACCTAACCTATTATTGACCTTTTTTTTTCAAGTTATTATACTGCTATATATTTACAAATTTACTACTTATTATTAAGTTAGATAGTCTAAAATTCTAACAAATATCTTATACAAATTGAATTAGTAATAAAGCAAACTAATAGTACTTGTAGCCTCATGAGATTAAATAATTGAAGAGTAGTACCTTAAAAAGAGGACATTCTTTTTTGTATATCACCATATGTGACTATCATCTATCAATCTATCAGTATATCACTAGTTCATTACTAATCGTCTCACTTATATACGTATGTATGATAAGCCATCGATGATTATTCAATTTAAATTTGGCTCCAAGATAAATATTACACAAGAATTGATTGAATGAGAAAACTAATTCCTTGCATTTCGTAATAATTAACCACGCAATATGAGAAATGACACATGAATGACTTGATATCGGCCCAATAATAAGGTAAAAATTCAATAATTACTCTAGTTTAAAAATACCTTATTTGGATATTGAATTTGGTCAACTCGACCAAAATCTAGACAAACACGGAAAGGATTTGAATCGGAATTGACCAAATACTGAATCAACCTTATCTTAATCAAATCGAACACGATCGAACCGAAATCATCCGACCAAAAATTAACTCGGTCACACCCGTTTTGAATCTGATTCGATTTTATCTGAACCAAACATGAACGATCTTGAGTTGACCTAACCCATATCCGACCTTGACTCGATAGACCATGACCCGAATTTGACCCGACCCATCCCGATCCGAGTTAAAAGAATAATTTTAACCCGAACATATACGACCCGAATAGACCCGACCCAAACTCCATCCGGTTATCTGAATTGACACTTCATGTCTACAAATGAAAAATCATTGTACCATATTTTTGCTTATGACTATAATAGTATATACACGTACCTGTGTAAATAGAAATTCACAATTCATCAATATATTCACTACTACTCCAATTAAAATTTCTCATATTTCTTACCGTAATAAAAGAGAAAATACAAGTTTCTTCACATGGGAAACTTGTATGTTTCTCAATTGGGTATTTTCGTCTTTTTATTACTAAGGAAGCTTAACAGCGTTAACCCACAAATAACATACCCATGTCTCCATCCTCAACAATGAAGTTTGAGAATCCTTCACTAATGGAGGTCGAAATTTTCTACAACAATGAAGAAATCACTCACGAATAATGACAAATACCTACCATTTAGGGTTAACCATGCCCTTAATTTACATATTTTTCTTAGGGTTTTTCGTCAATTTCGACGGCGAGCCGCCGATATCAATGTGTTGGGGTCGGGATTTGTTGCAGTGTTAGTGGTGTACTGGTGCTGAGGATGGTGTTTGTTTGTTGGTGGGGACTTGGGAATGAATCCACCATTGTTGATGAGAAAGGAATAAGGAATGAAGATGGAAGGATGAACACGACGGAGGTAACGAAGGAAAAACTTCTGTCATCTCATCCCATGCTATCTTCTCACATAACCAACAGAGGGGCCCATTACAATGTCTAAATAATTACAAAAATGCCATTTGAGAAACAAATCCGGTATCTCAATTGAAAAATTGGGACCGGCTCGTAATAAAATTCCCTTTTTAATATATTGAAAGCATAGTTTTAGTTTGTGAATAAATTTCAAAGCATTGTCTTGCCTTTTAAGTGACTAAGGCCAAAGGAGTGTTTTTAGGGTTTTGAAAGGGTTTAGGACTCGTCTCCATACTTGCATTTCCAACCATTGAAGCTACTACACACTTACCTCCAATGGCGTCAAACAGCGAAAAATTCAACAAGCTCGAAGATTCAGATTTCGACATTGATGAAGATGGCGACGACCTCGAAATTGATCAAGGTTGGAACGATTGGAACGCAGATGAAAATGACGATAATGCCGATGAAGATTCCGAATTCAAGTGTTTGTTTTGTGAATTCAGCTTTAGTTCTTGCGATTCATTGCTTCAACATTGTTGTTCAATTCACCATTTTGATTTCCCTCTCTTGAAAAAGAGCTTAGGGTTAGACTTTTATGGCTGCTTCAAGCTTGTTAACTACATTAGAGCTATGGTTTGTTTGTCTAATCTTCAATTCTTTTGCTTTTTTAGTCTATTCAATTTAATTATTGTTATTTTGTTGATATTATGTGAAATTTGGTTCTTAATTGCTTTAACAATGTGTTAGAATCAGTTCTTTTACTATGTTATTCGGACTTGGGTACTCGTGTTGGACATGGGTACGTGTTCAAGTGTGTGGCTACTTTGCGAAAAAAATTCATTATTTTAGCCGTAAATGAGGTGTCTAGGAAGTAGGGTCGAGGATCCGACATGAGTACTTTATGAAAAAATGAAGAATTGGGGTAGCTTAGGCTTTTGCCATTCCAATTAAGAACTTTTTTTGAGCGAAATTTTCCTTTTAAATTTTTTTGCAAATTCTTTGAGAATGAAAGTGGTTCAATAAGAGACAATTGCGCTTAATGTTTTTGCTGAATTATCTTATGAATTTTCTATGGTATTATTTTTTCTTGTTTTTCCTGTAAATCAATGTGGTTGTTTGTTTGTAGGTAGCACAAAACACTTGTTGGAGCTGTGGTCATCAGTGCAAGTCCAATCAAGAGCTACTGAATCATCTTCACGAGACAAACTTTTCGGAGGAGTTGATGCTTTTGTGGGATGATGATAAATACTTGCAACCCTTCATGGAAGGGGATTCTTTACTCTATAGCTTTGATCAAGATGAAGATTTTGAAGATGAGTGTATGCCACCCGTTGATGAAGAGGAATTATCACGAATAGTGGGAGAAGCAAAGGAATTATCACGTTTATTGGGAGACGTGCAAAAAGTATGCTCTGATGATGAAATGATGGTAGATGCTGATTCCTCTAGCCCCATTGATTCGAATAAGAAAGTAACGAAAGTGATGCCTTCTACTTCTATTGCTAGCTCTTCCAGGGAAGCAATGGTGAATGGTGTTGAGTGTGATTTATCTGATAAAATGCAAAAAAATCTGTCCCTTAGGGCTTCTTTTGGAAGAGTTGCAGCATCAGAGATTAAGAAAGTAAATGAGAGTTATTTTGGATCCTATAGCTCCTTTGGCATCCATCGGGAGATGTTAAGTGACAAGGTCCTGAACTTATACAAATAATTATACTCTGCATGACAATTAAATTCCCATTTCTTAGATTTCTTGGATCCTATGACATGGTAACATATTAACTGTTTGTTATGTTGGTCTCATTACTGTTACTGACAACCTCCTTATGGTGTTGCAGGCTAGAATGGATTCATATAGTCAAGCTATTTTGAAAAATCCATCTCTTTTTGGTGGTGCTGCCGTGATGGATGTTGGTTGTGGGACCGGTATACTTAGGTGAGATCTCTTTATAGATGTATAGTGAATTGTACAATAATGTCTGTATTTGCTGTTGCCTGCACATTATGTATTTTAGGTGATTGTACCAATAATTATGTGCTTCTTTTGTTTCTTTTTTACATTGTGCACTGTTGCAAGTTCTGATGCATGATTTTAGTGGATTGCTAATGGATAGTATCATGTTCAAAGCTTTTTGAAAACGTACTTGTAGACATGGATCTTACTCAGAAGTTCTTGATTGTAATTTTTGTTGTGGAGTCTATTGGATGCCATTCAATACAATGAATTTGTTCAATTTTTGGCTACTATTACTCAAATACTCTTGCTTTGGCGCTGTGCTCAATGCTATCTAGCTTTTGATCTTGTGTGATGCACCACTTGCACAAGATGACAGTCATATCAAGAGAGATAATAGAGAGATGAAAAAATGGGACTTTGATTTCAGAATGAAATTTACTCGGAGATGAAATATTGGAACTTGGCAATATTACAAAGGCGGTAGTAGTGGTGGAAAGGGAAGAGGTTAAAAAGAGAGGTTGGAGGGTCAAATTAGTTGTGGGGCAACTAAGTCAGGACTGTAGCAAAACTCTTGTTCCATTGTTGAATGTAGTGTGCTTATCTCATGAATTGTTCAAAAGTGGTTTCATTAAACACTATCACCTCATCAGTAATGGTTAAACCAATCAATTAGAGGTCATAAGTTTGAGGGTGGAGTGGATAGGTCATGGGTTTGAAGATGGAGTGATGTATATTATTTTGTAAAGGTTAAGTAAACATGTCAAAGAACTTGCATTATGTGGCACCATGTAAAGGTGGAGGGTCCAACTTCCAACTGTTGGTGTTCCATGAAAGGGCAACACCTTTTGAAAGATACTATAGATTTTACTGCTAGAAATTGCTAATCAGTGTTTATCGCTGAATGAAAGGACAACTTTGATTGATGATTTACTATTATATCTTCTTCAATCTGTTGTTGAAACCTTGAATGAATACATTTGACCTTTTTTGAGAAAAAGAAAACTTTATCCCTGTCAAAGTATTTCTTCTTTTGTCCTTACCATAATGAAGGGAATTAAAGGCACAAGAGGTGGATTGTAGAATACAGATATAGGGCATGACAATTTTTCTTTAATATTTTATGTAATCTAGAGGGAATAATACTGTGAATCGCACTTCGTATGTACTTGGCCTCTCCAGATTGTGTTCTAGTGGGATGTTTTTTCTCGTCCAAATATGAGTGCCAGGTCTAACAGGTTAAAAGAAGTTCAGTTAAGAGCTATTTACTTCAATTAGGGCTAATGAGTTAAAATTAGGGCAAGTAAGTTTATCCTTTAAAAAAACAAAAGGGCAAGTAAGTTCAGTTTACCACTAAATATATGCTTAGGTAAGGGAAATATTAGATAACAATTCAGGGTCTTCAGGTGAAAAGTATGGACTCCAATGTTATGGTATAAGTTCAAATAGCTCGGGTGCACCATTTATTGTACTGTATTTCCTGATATTCTTTTAGCTTATTCTTAGTTACTATTTCTTAGTCTATTTGCAGCCCAGGCAGGGGCTTCAAGAGTTATTGCAGTGGATGCAAGTGAGAAGATGGCTGCTGTGGCCACTCAGGTAATCTAGGCTTTCTAGCTTTTCAGCTTAACTTCTTGATCTCACAATACCAACATCAGTATCAACTTCATCAAATAAACCTTTGTAATAAATGAAGGGTATTATACTGTTTGTAGATTGCAAAAGACAATGGCTTTTTAAGGAATGAAAGTATTTGCAAAGGTAATAACCAGAGTCCTGGTGTAGTTGAAGTTATCCATGGTATGATTGAGGACATTGAAAAGTCGGTATCAATTGAACCCCACACCATAGATGTCTTATTGAGTGAATGGATGGGGTACTGTTTGCTCTATGAATCAATGCTCAGCTCTGTCCTCTTTGCACGGGACCGATGGCTGAAGCCTGGAGGTGCTATTCTGCCTGATATAGCAACAATGGTGAGATATATATATATTTCTTTTTACGGTCATTTGTTGAGGTTTAGTACACCTGTACAATCACAGTGAGATGCCTCTATAGCCAATGCTTCCAATAATTGAAATAGACATGAATAAATGTTTCCAGTTATCAGAAATATTAAATGTTGAAGTTTCCTACAACTAACTGAATGCTTAAAAACATCTTTATTTCATGTAAAATACATGGTTGACCCATTCTTTTTCTTTTGTCATTTCTGCTCTCAGGAGCCGAGGCAAAGTAATTTTGCATCACATACTGTCATTTCATTTAGGAGTAACTTTACTTGTTACATGTTAAAAATGACTAGACACTTGATATATATTTATTCAATTATTATGGCACCGCTTTGCTCTAATTTTATTGAACTTTATTCTTTTTGCCTCCTTATTGACCAGACACATGATATTTACTCACTTAAATATCATGGCACCTCTTTGCTGTAATTTTATTGAAATTTATTCCTTTGGCCTCTTGAATGTATTGATGCTGCTAGGAACTTATATCTTTTGTCAATTTTCTTCAGTTTGCTGCAGGATTTGGAAGGGGTTGTACCAGTCTTCCCTTTTGGGAAAATGTGTTTGGTATTGACATGTCTTCTGTTGGCAAGGAACTTGTTAAAGATGCTGCTGAGTTTCCCATTGTTGATGTTGTCAATAGCCATGATATTGTGACTGAGACTGCAACTTTGAAGGTTTGTTCTCCTTATCTGTAGTACTGCAGATTATATTTTGTCCTGTTTCCTGACCCTTGGTAAGTGTGGGAGATAGTTTACATTCAAGTGTTGAGTTAGAGTGAGAGCTTCTGTTAACTATAATGTGTGAATACGTCCTGAATATTAGGTGGCTGATCTTGCACCTAGGTAGGGTATGAGGGGTGGGTGGAACATGGAGGAAGGGATCTCTATTATTACAGTAATTAAATCATCCTCTGAAGAGCAAAGTCCCAATATATTTCGAGTCATGTACCCAAAAAATATTTTAGAGTTGCTGACACTTAACATGGGTAATAGATAGGTTTCTTGGGCTGGATTTCCTGCTCTGAGTTCAATTTCATGCATTTTCTGATTCGTTTTTTGTTAACTTCAGCCTTAGAATAGTTGACTCTGAAGATTTTTATCCTGATAATGCCCAATTTCTTCATTTCAGAACTTTGATTTAGCAACCATGAAAATTGAAGACATGGATTTTACTTCTAGCATCGAGTTACAACCTAAGTTGGGCAGTGTCACCGAATTAAGTGATGTGAAAAATGGAGTTACATGGTGTCATGGAGTTGTTTTGTGGTTTGATACTGGTTTTACAAGCAGATTTTGCAAAGAAATGCCAGCTAACTTATCCACTTCCCCATACACACTGAAGACTCATTGGTCCCAGACAATTTTCACCTTTAGGGAACCCATAGCACTCTCATCAGGAAGACTTGATGCAAAGAGTTCAGCTGTCGTTGGAACTGACTCCTGTCCAGCGTCAAAGATTGAGGTACGCATTAGTATTGTTCGTGCACAACAGCATCGAGCCATTGATATATCACTGGAGACTTCAGCAGTCAGCCATGATTGCCGAAGACAAGCTTGGCCTGTACAGATTTTTAACCTCTCTTAGAACCTTACATCTTTCTTGTTCTGTCATCATTGTATCAGTTGATTGATAGTGGTCTTATTTTTCCCTTTTATTTCATGTATTAGTTAACATTTATAGCCAGTCATGGCCTCCTTATATAAACATCCACCAATTTTGTTTCCTTGGATCAAACTTCACTCGTATTGGAGATGTTTTCATTCTCTTGGGATTGTCAAGTGTTCACTTGACAGCATAATCTTGGTTGTCTTATTTTCGATTCTGACCCATAACTGAACAAAGGGCTTCTTGATAAAAGTTTGTTTAACTCGTCATATTAGAACAAACTTAATGTCCTCTGTCCTATTCATGTCTTCTGATTAGCTTATCTATGGAATACCTATCTCCATAGTCCATGCACTGAAAACAAAAGTGTCATGCATCTGTTGACCGTTTTCTACATCCATGAATTGAGGTTCTTAATGAGAAAGGATCTTCTCCTCTAAATGAATTGAGGTAGGAAGTGAAATGGTATCCAGTTAGTAAACCGTCTCTTTTCTTGTAGAGAATCCTGATGGACCTGATCTGACTTAAAGCAGCGTAATTACTTGAGAAGATTACGAAAACTTTACATTTGTGCTTTCAGACCCTTTGAAGCTTGGCTACAGATAAGTCATACTAATAGCAAGAAAATTCACCCCCCACCCCCCCCCCCCCCCAAAAAAAAAAAAGGGAAAATACACGCACACAAACATGATTGGTTGCCATAAAAATCTGAAAAGATCCAGAAATACCGGTTATTATATCTATAATAATAATAATAATAATAATAATACAACCTTATAATATGCATACAGTATTAGGTACCATTTAAAGTACCCAAAATTCATACATTATCTCATTTTAGCTCTCACTGTAATTGTGAACTTGCTTCCATCAGCTTAGCTGGAATGGACAATAAAATTCTCAGAAAAGACCAGCAACAGCAAAACCTATTGATTTATTCACCACCTGCAGCCTCTGCAGGTGTAGCTGGTCCTTTGGGAATCCACTTATATACCGGTGCTTTCGATTTGTTTGCCTCAGGCACTTGTGGTGTTTTTACGCGTGGCACCCACTGTGAGATTACCCTATTTTGCTTAATTGTCTTTGCTGTGATTTCTTGCCATTTGTTTTTCTTGTTCTGTTTTGGTCTAGCAGGACTTGTAATGACGGGTTTTTGTTCAATCTCCACTTTCACATCTTGTATTTCGCTTCCACATAAATCAACCACTACAATATTTTTTGATGAAGTGCTCGTTATATTAGATTCTGCTTCTGAAGCTTGTTTGTGATTCCCTGCATCGAGAGCTTTCTGTTCTGAAGAAATATCATCAAGAGCTTTCTGTTCTGAAGGAATATCATCGAGTGTTTTCTGTTCTGAAGAAATATCACCGAGAGCTTTCTGTTCTGAAGAAATATCATCAAGAGCTTTCTGTTCTGAAGAAAAATCAACGAATGTTTTCTGTTCTGTAGAAATATCATCGAGAGCAATCTGTTCTGAAGAAATATCATCAAGAGCTTTCTGTTCTGAAGGAATATCATCGAGTGCTTTCTGTTCTGAAGAATTATCATTAAGAACTTTCTGTTCTGAAGAATTATCATCTATTTCTTCAGCTTCCAAATCCCATCTAGGAGTGCCATTGTGCAATGTGCAGTCTCTGTTAATATTATCCACCAAATATGTCTCTGGAACTATTGTACTGTCGTTAACCTTCCTGTCTGCGCTCTCTGGCAAAGGTGTAAAAATCTCTTCAACCTCAAAAAATTCATTGTCGGAATCATTGTATTCTTCCCCAGCTCCTAATTCCAAGGTAATGTTTACCGGTACTTCATTCATGTCTCGAAAGAGAACCTAACATGAAGAGAAATTAAAAATAAAATAAGTCATGTACAGCAGTACAGATACAAGCTAATCAATTATAGCCTTTGTTCTTTATTTGAACTTACTAGGACTTATTGAAACTTCTAAATTGAACTTAAATAGCCTTTATTAAAACTTACTTTTCTAGGGACTTTTTTTTCAAATTTAAATGGAGCATATCATTACCTCTGCTTTAAAATTCCTAGCGAGCTTAGTGTTCCAGGGAACATCCATATCGTCACAGTTGAGATCCAATACGTTTGATTGGACAAATCCTGTGTGAAACATGACTTTGAATATCATTTCTTCTGAAACTTGATCGTCATGCAAATGGATACACTCGAGGAAAACATCACCCTGGATCTGACAACGAAGTTCTAATTTCACGAACTCACATTCTTCCTGCAGTTCAGCATTAAACAACCTCTGAAAATTAAAGAGCTTTACTTTGAGATTCAGATTATTCAGATTATCTTAATATGACAAGGGAAGCAAAGAAGGGGAACATATTTTTCATGCCCGAAAAATAGCATGGAGACCGGGTTTAAGAATAGCTTTTCCTCCTTTTCTTAATGAACATTTATATACATACATAAAATTCAAGTATGGCTGAACTTTTACCTTTGAATAATTTAAAGCAGGTTCATCTGCCATGAATGATGAAAATATAAGCCGAGCACTATTTGTCTTTGCCGAAGGGTCCTGGCCATACACTCGAACCACAGGCCTGCAACCTTTCCCACCATTTAATAAAGGAAGATTCCTTAGTAGGAGATAGTCTATTATTACAGGTGCATCTGACGGAGGCCATTCTGAAGCTGAATCTCTTCCCGTAATGTACTGAAGGTATCTTAACTGAGAAGCTCGAGGATTTATTGGGGATATAACAGAAGAGAGCTCCTTAGGAGCTTGTTTATATACCATTTCAAGAGTCTTTTGCTCCCCACTGTATTGCTTCCTGTAAAGCAGGAGACCTGCTAGCATGAACGCAAGCACAGGCCAACCACCGCTCTCACAGTGCATCAGGATCACGTTCTTCTGACCCTCTAAAGATAACCAGCTCTCACTAGATCTTAAGAAGTAGTGAATCATCTCCAACGGAAGTAGAGGATATCCCTCATAGTGGCAAGGGTAATCCACCACTGTCATGTCATAATCAATCAGTATGTCTGACAGTAAGCTCATTTGCTCCCCTTCTCGGAAGTTAAACACCATGACAGAAGCACCAGGATGGCAGTTATGCAAACTTTTTACAATACCACCTAGGTATGACTTGCTTTCTTTTTCACTCTTAACGGAAGTTGAGAAGCAGCTTTCGAACACTACATGATGTAAGTAAGAAAAGGGCAGTTTTATCAACATTATTCAACTTAATAAACTAAAAACATGCTTATTTGTCTGCATACACTGCTCCTAACTAAAAAATTTGGGGCTTTTTATGCCACAATATGATGTAAAAGGCATCACATATAGCCATATAGGTAGTATCCAGTAAAATACCCCTTGCTCAAAACATATACCTCAACAATGTGTAGATTATGTGTATTCTTAAATTATTACGTCCAAAAATGTCATAGCTGTTATACTTTTCTTGGGGTAGATTCAAAATTTAGAACTACACTCTTCATTTCTTAATTTTTTTTAATATGAAGCATTAAAAGTTAGCTAACGCGACAAATATGTAGGATAGGTAGCACAAGGGAAATCATGAATCTTTCTTAGCCAGTTCATTCCCCGTCATTTGAAGAAGTATTTAATCATCCCGATTTAGAATTCTCTTATTTGTTTGAAATATACTTATTTTGCTCCGTCAATATACCATTACCATGAACATTAATATTATACAAGTACTTAATATACTTATATGTACATATGGATTCTAATTAGACTGTATTCCCTAGTTACAATGAAAAATGATTTCTTGTAAAAGGTTAAATATCATTTTGTTTTACCCAAATAATAAGATTATCACAAAACCCTTAATATGTTCTAAAGCATAAGAATTTTCCTATTACAAGATTTACAACGATATTTTTTTGTTATAATATGATTATGTATGATCATATAAGAAGCTAAGAGGACATGCATATGCAAAATCATAATATAATTAAGTGTAAGGAAATTTATATATACCATATATACGTTCAGATATTTCAAGAAGACGATCAGGAAGCCTCCTAGAGAATGATCGCCGGAACAGTGACATGATGGATCGACAACCACGAAGACAACAACAGCGACAACGACAACAGACGATTTGATTTGAAACAAAGCAAAACACAATAGATAATGAAAGAAACAAAAGATTACGTACGTAAACCAAGCTAGCTAGCTAAGGTATATTGTATATATGATGTTTAATATGATGAATAATACAAATGAAATGTATTAGAAGAAAGGAGAAAATAAGGAGCAAAAGAGGGTCAAGAATGCATGATGTAATGACATGAAGATAGAAAAAAAAGATGATCATGAAGAAGAGAGATAAGGTGGTGAGTTTGACTTCTGAATGCGTCAAACTTTGAGGAGGAGTGAGCACGACTACCTACATTTTTTCAATTTTTGGTAGTGGAGACAGCTGCACCAACTGTACTCTTTTCTTATTTAAAAAATTAAAATGTAATTATATTTTGTCAATTTTAAAGTTTTGTGTTACATTTCATCATCATCAATGTATGTATCATGTTTATTAATTTTTTGAAATATGGTAAAAGAAAAGGTGTTTTATCGTATTGGAATTCTAAATAAAGTTTACTTATCTCAATTTAGAAAATTAACGAGTTGTTCGGTATAAAGGATATCAGGGTAGAGATAAAATTCACCCCTTATCCATAGAAAGAGGTGTTGTATTGTAATATGAAAGGAAGGATAAAAAAATAAGGATGAAAAGACAATTGAACCTATAAAAAGGAAGGATGAAGCAATTTAATAAGAGAGTAAGGATATTTAATTAATTTGCTATATCTTTTTTTTTCCGTGTCTCAACTCATACCAAATCAAGGATATACAAATACGAATAAAATATTGGATTCCTCAAATAATTCTTCGTACGATTGAATCCCTAACTTCAATCTTCCCCATTCATACCAAAAAAATAAGGATGAAAAGACAATTGAACCTATAAAAAGGAAGGATGAAGCAATTTAATAAGAGAGTAAGGATATTTAATTAATTTGCTATATCAACATATTTTGTGTGGATCAAATAAACTTCAATTTTCCCTTACATGCTTTGTGTAGAAAAGTTTTAAAAGACAATGATATAGCTGAGATTTGATCCTAGATCTTGTGTACCAACCTCCCAAAACTTTAACCAAGTCATTAATTAGTAGAACTTAACATATATTATTGACAAATATGTTGATCTGAATATAGTGTCGAGAACTCGAGATTGTAGATAAGTTTAGGAGTGATAGAAGTAGTCTCAAAGTGTTACGACTTGGACATGACTGATAAACGAAACATATATTGAAGGGGCGGCAAAGAGTTGACAGAGTCCTAGACACGCCCGTGCAAATGAAGGTTCATGATGTTTGATGTTAGTTCACTTAATTGTTCAAGTACGTATGAGCCATCAAGTTTTTGTGAAGGATAACATGTTCATGCTGTATTTGGCACGTCCGTGTTTATTACAGTTTTAAGAAAATCGATAACTAATCTTACCGTTTTGTAATTCTTTATCTTACTTTAAATCTAGGGGTCGTTTGATTTATTAGGGAAGTGAAAATTTCCATAAAATTTCAATTTTTAGGAATTAAATTCCTACATCAAAATCATGAGAATTCATCAAATTAAATTTGTTTGGTTGATAATAGAGGAAGTAAATTCCCATAGGGAGTTAAGTAAGTAAATTCCCATGTTTTGAGGGAAGTTAAAATTCCCATAAATTTGTCATTGCCTCCATTTTCACTGTTTTGTGTCAACCAAACAAGAAGTCCAAAATGAAATTCATGAAAATTTTAAATGTCCACATGAATTTAAGCGGCCAACCAAGCATAACCTAGCTAAACTCATAAAATAACCATTTGGTGATATTTTAACAAAATTTTACTATGATTCTAATTTTTCTACTTCGGATCATTTGAAGTAGTATTTCCATCCTCAAAAGTTTGAACTTTGACTCATTTATTATAGGCTGTTCTTTCTAGGAATGCATTGAAAATGTGAGAAGGTATATGAAAAAAATGGATTGAGTAGAAGAGATGGGGTAAAGGTGGATGAAAAATGAACAATGTAAGAGATGAGGTAAATTGGTTTACATATATAGTGTGAGATGAGACAGGTGGGATAGTATTGATGATATTCTTACATTATACCAACAATTGAAATATCAATGACTCAAATTATTAGAGGCATGAAATTTCTTTATATGTTTTTTCGAATGAATTAAATAATAATAATTAAATGATTTGGGCCTTGTTTGACAAATGGCTGTTGGCTGTTGGCGATTGACTGGTTCACTTGACTTGTTTGACCTACTGGAATGTTTGGCTGTTTATAATGACTTTTGAAATTGGATCTTTAAGCTGGCTGTTTATAAAATTATTTGGTAAATTTTGTGGCTGTTTATAAGATAATTATGGGTCAACAAGCCAAAAGCCAACAAAAAAAGCTACTCATATCAGCTTTTACATTATGGCTTAAAAACCAGCTTTTTCGCTGAATAAAAAGTCAATTACCAAACACTTTTTTTTTTATTGTTTGACCACATAAAAAAGCCAAAAACTAACCAAAAAGCCACCATAAAACCATTTACCTAACATGGCTTTGATATAAAAAGCCAGTTGAACTTGGAAACAAAGAAAGTATCCAACTAGCAGCTCTATTAAGTTCGAAAATTCGACAACACCCTCAAACCAAGCCCCTCAATACGTGTCGAACTTTTAAAAAGAGAAAGAGTCGGCAACTCGGTAAGTGTGCAACGTAAGTTGGCAGAAGAAGAGCCCAAAACAATACCAGTGTCATCAATAAACCGCAAACAAAATCAAACAAACAACCGATACTTTCGTCTTGCAAAAATCCATCTTTCCATTTTCTCTTCATTAATACTTACTCATTAAGCAAAACAAAAAAACGGTGGTATAAATCTATGTTGAGCATCTCATTCTTCTTCCACCACTCTTCTTCTTCTTCATCTCTCCTTTTTCTTCTCTTTTTCTCTCTCCTAATATTCCAACGATCAAAAGGGTATTGCTCTGATTTTGAATCTCAACCTTCTATGGCTACTCTCGGTGGTTTGCGCGAATCTCAAGGTGTTTCCAATGATGCTGAGATTGAAAACCTTGCTCGTTTTGCCGTTGATGAACACAACAAGAAAGAGGTTTTTTTTCTTGATTTTTTGCAATTTTTGAAGTTGCCCGATTCATAGTTTTGCATGAATTTTTCTGGGTTTTTCTTATTCTTTCAATTTTCTGCAATTTTTTGTAGTTGTCCAATCCACAGTTTAATTTTTTTTTTTTTTTTTTTTTTTTTTTTTTTTTTTTTTTTTTTTTTTTTTCTGTTCAAATTTTACTTTTAAATTTTTGCAAATGTTGAACTTACTCATTTCATTGTTCTGCATAATTTTTACTGGGATTCTGTGGGTTTTTCTTTTTCCTTTGTTTTGGAAGATAGGGTTTGATCATGATTTCTGCGTTGATCATATTTTTTGCTGGGATTTTTAATTTTTGTTTGCGTTTATTTTATTTTTATATGAGAAATTTAGGAATTTAATTAACTTTATGATCTTCTTTCAACTTATTTCCATCAGAAACTAAAGTAAATTTGTTTGCTGTTTGCCTGTTTATAACTGGCATTCATTGAATCATTGGGGGTAATAGGCTTAGAAATTACTCAAATTCGAGTACCATATATTGATATTTATTTATTTAACATTAGAACATTACTAGTATTGTGAATTGTGATCAAAACATTATTCTCATAATTTCTCAATTTATGCTAATGAAGAATGGAATGCTGGAGTTCGCAAGGGTTATAAAGGCAAAGGAACAGGTGGTTGCGGGCACGTTGCACCACTTCACCATCGAAGCCATCGATGCCGGTAAGAAGAAACTGTATGAAGCAAAGGTATGGGTGAAGCCATGGTTGAACTTTAAGGAGCTGCAGGAATTCAAGCATACTGAGGAGTCCCCTGCTGCATTCAGTTCTTCAGACCTTGGTGCTAATAGAGGTAATGATTAAGGTTCATGTTAAGAGTTATCATTGCGAAAATGATTAGTGGTGTTGATTAAAAAATCTCAATATATTTGCATTATGGTAGTTTGATCTTGGAAGTTTGGTAATTTGTATGAGCTTGCGAAAACGATCATGAATTGGTTTCCTTCTTAACCGGTTTTGGAGAATTTCTAGTTTCTATATGCTTTGGATTTAGTTTAAACAAGATGAGAATCTAATGAAATTAATCGAATGAAAAGATCATGAAGTTTTTTGTAGGATGAAGCGTGAGTATACCCAATGGTTAACCACAATTATTGTGGTTATCATCTATTTTATTCATTTCTCTATCATCCACCTCATTTGTAACCACTTTTATAACCAATGTATCTCGATGGTTGCCCATAAATTTTCTTCAATAAGTGGAGAATCTTGCAAAAGTGGGTGAATATTTTATTCAATAACCATGTTACAATAACCTGGTTAAACCAGGTTATTGTTTTATCTCTCCTTCTTTTTCTCTCTTTATAATTTTTTATAATATTTTTACACCCTCTCACCTAATAACCACCCTAAATGGTTAACGGCTGGCTATGCTCTATAGAGGGAGCCTCAGTTAATCTCTGTCCATGTTAATCTCCTCTCACAACTTTATGCATTTATTTCTGTGCCACTTTACTATTTCACTTTATTATTTTGAAAATAAAAATAGAACAATATATTGTGAGAGGAGATATATTCCCATGTTTATCTCAGAGATAAACTTGAATTTTCTTGATATGTTTCTTTACTATATAATATATATAGGCTTGGAGCGTGACTTTAATTGCAGGGTATTGAAAATTTGTTGCTGTCTGTAAGTTTGTAATCCATTCCACAATGACTATTATACTCTCTATGTTTTGCTATGCTAATTTGACTGTTTTCTCCCAGAAACTAAAAATTTGAGTAGTTAAGTTGTTGCTTCATACTTCTGCTTTAAATGAAGGACTTTTACTTTCACTTATTTCATTATCTAGAGTCCCTTGAAGTGGCTCAAGAGCAATTGACATCATTGTTTAAATCATGATAACTGTTGTGGGTTGGATAGAATTTCGATCAAGATTAGGGTACCTTAATGAGGTTTTTAAATTTTTGCCTAATGGCTCCCCACCTTTTTCTGTTATTGTCGTTTTTAATGGGAATTACCTGTTAACTATAACCCACTAAAGATTGCACCGGAGCACCAACAAGTATCGTCTTTTAGTCAGGCATTTTATTAGGTGTTGATTGTTCATCCTTAAGTCAGCTACTCAGCTTTTTCATTAGGTTTTCAGTTCTGGCTCTGTGAAAAAGATGCAACCAGTGGTATATACTCTAATCCCCCACGTACTGTGTATTTACGAAGGCAGTCTATAACATCAATAGGGTAATTTTTGGCCCAATTTAAATAGTTAGGTGGCAAAATGCATATCAGACTGATAATAATACTCGATTGTTAGGTAACCCTTATATGATTTTGGGAATTACTACCTATGATGAATGGAGACCAACTACTTCTTGTGCTGCTGAATGATTTTTGTATTTTGCTTGATTTCTTGAGGCATTTTAACTGAATAATTTTGGAAAATTTCATTATACGCCTTTCTTGCATGATTTATACCTTGTCATCATCCATCGCTTTGCTTCTATGTGATCTTCAGTGTGCTGGCACTAACTTTTGCTTGTATGTACAGAAGGGCATACCCCAGGATGGAAAGATGTGCCTGTCCACGACCCTGAAGTGCAAAATGCTGCACATCATGCTCTCAAGACCATTCAGCAAAGATCCAACTCTTTATTCCCATACGAACTGCAAGAAGTTTCTCATGCAACGGCTGAGGTTCGTCCTCCGATTAGTTATTGGCACTCTAAGTTGCTCTTTGAATCATAAGAATCACGTTTTTTTCCCTCCTAACTTGAGAAGGGTAGACGAAACTGTACTCCCTAAAGGTGTATATGTGGGCATTTGATTCGATCTCATTTTAAAGAAATTAAGCAAAAATACCAACTTCTCTTCCCACACCTTCGCAAATTTGGAAGTACAATTATAAACAACTGAGTGAATCAAAGATTTGGCTAACAGAACTGAGGTTTGGGGTCAATTATAATTAGTAGCCTCCCGTCTTGTTATTGATCTGGGGCTGAGGGAGATTTGCTGAGTGTGAGTAATTAATTAACTTTCAGTGATATTCGTAGTTTCTCAGGTAGTCAAGCTGCATAATACGGACAATATATGCTTAAACTCTGATGCAAACTGTTTTAAATGACAGGTTGTGGAAGAAACTGCTAAGTTTAACCTGCACCTCAAAGTGAAGAGAGGAGAGAAGCAGGAGTCTTTCAATGTGGAGGTGCACAAAAACAGCGAAGGCAACTATAACCTTAATCAGATGGGCAACATTGAGCCTGAGTTCGAGAAGAAGGATTGAGTGTTGGAGATCCACAGCTGACTTGGTTTGAGTGTAATAATCTCGACTTTTGTGGTAGTGGTACCGTCGTATTTCAATGTATGTCTTTAATTATGTATAATGAAGATTGCTTTCTTATTCTCTGTTCTTTTTATCTTAAAAGAGGGGTTACACTTCCAACTTACAAATCTTTAGATTACAGCATTAGGTATACATACCACCTCTGTTTTATATTATGCGTAATATTTACAAAAAAATGGTTGTTATACATTATGTGTAACAATAATTTCTTTCTTTTAAGTAGTAATTTCTCCCTCGTAAAAAAATGGTTGTTATACATTATGTGTAACCTTGAAAATTCAATTGACGTAAATTATTTGCTTTCATCAATTTTATTATCTCCCTCGTTAATCTAAAACCCTAATTTGTACTGTGTTAGTTTCTAATCGTGAATTAATCCATTGCTGATTTGAATTTGTTCTTAATGTATTTTAATAGAACCAATTATTTCTGAATTAACGAAAATTGAAATCAAACAAATGAATGTAAGTTAATCTTTAGGCAATATACGGCCAATCGGCCATTATAATTCCCGTCTTACAATCAAAAAGTGTAAATGTGCTCGGCCTTGGGATTGAAATGTTCCGTCTCCATCTACCATATACTTGGAGGCTTGGATAGTTGGATGTTGTTATACTGTAATTAGAAGCTTAGAGCAATAAACTTCGTACAAAGGAAGGTGAATTTAAAAATATAAAAATAAAATAAAAAATAAATAAAAAAGGGTAAGGCTCGTAAGGGTATCGTGCTATCAAAGTATCAAATTCTATCAAAAAAATATTGACAATTCTCCTTCACGGTTGTGTTAATATAACATAATATTCGTGGAGAAAAAAAATAAAAAAATAAAGATAAAAAAAATTAGTATATCATGAAAAAAAATTATTGTAGGGGGAAAAGATTTGATAATAGTACCTCTAATAAAACAAATGAGTCAACAACTTAGCTAAATTAGTAGTACATAACGATATAACTACATTTACTATAGGATTTTCGATTTGCAAAACTTACCATCATTGGAGGTTTGGTTCTTGCCTTTAATATCAGTTGCATAATCTGGGTTTTTGTTTTACTTAAATTTCCCACACTACTTGCACTTATAAGGATAATAAACCCTAACATGAGGGGATGGTTTAATTGCTTTATTTCCTTGCTTTTTGCAATTTTGGTCCGTTGGGAATACTTTTTACGTTCCTTGTTGCATTTATTGGAGATTATAGCAAAAACACAATTTAATGCTTAATATTTCCACTTAACTTTTATATGCAGGCTGCATGTATCATTTTCCTTCTTTAAATGTCAAATATCCTAAAAAAAACTCGAGAACATAAAGAGAAAACATTCAGAGTACTCCGAAAATGACGAGACTGTGCACTGTGACATCCAACTACGTTAAAAATTTCTGCAACTAAAGATGATAACAATGCAAGCCTTACAACCTAATTAGAAAACCTACTAATCATCAATTATACAGATCCAGCAGAGACCATAATTAAAGGATTCTAGTGTCTTTCCTTAACCCCCCCAAGGAATAGGTCTCCACTTTCATCTACATTTTCTCCTATTTTCTCCTACATTGACACTTTCACCAGCTACTCTTCATCATAGTCCTCATCTTCGTCTATTCTTGAGTTAAATTGGGCAATCTGATGTGGGTCGATGGCCATCCCATCAACCTCAGAGAGCAACTCTTCATTCTTGCTTTCAGGAGGTGGTTCAACTGATGCAGCAGCATTTTCTGTTGCTGTTACAGTGGGTCCTACTTCCTGGTTTTCAGCAGCTACTACGTCAGCATTTAAATCAAAATTCCGGACTGCCGTGTCTGCATCACCCACAACAGGACTCTCCTTCATTGGATCTGGTTTATTGGGATCATCGTCTGTGTTGGGTACTTGGATAGGGCAGGGCTTGTTGATAGGCTCAAAAACTGTCGATGGCTCGGCTTCCATCTCATGGTGAGAGGGTGTCTCTCTTTCTAATGGGGGCCTTCCCCGCCCACGACCTCTCCCTCGGCCTCGCCCTCTACCTCTACCACTGCCGCTGGCATGGCTCATTTCTTGCTGCATTTAGTCAACAAAGGCTATTATAAACCATAGATTACTAAATAATTAAAACACTATTACTAGTAAACAGTCAGATGGAAGCAATAACAAACATATATATATATAGTTTACCATAGGGTTGACAGGAAAAGAAAAATGCTTTCTTTACAAAATCAAAGAAGACCAAGAATACATATATTTCCCTTCTTGTGTTCAAAAAAAAAAAAGACCAAGAATACAAACAGAAAAAAAACAAGGGAAAAAAAATTTTAGATTCTTCACATTAATTTGTGCACTCATTGCTGTAATGCTATGTAATGTAAGGAGTCTTTGGTTATTTGATCACAACCATTTGTATGAATATAATTTACTGGTCAAAGCTCAAACCAACCCCCTCACAACCTGAAAACGGAGAAACAAACCTTCCAGCTACCAACTTAGAACGTGTATTACCAGATTAAGGCACTTTTTGGTTCAAGTTATTATCTGAAGTTTACTTATCTGAACTTATCTAGACTAATACGTTGTATTTACTTATGTGATCTTAACAATTTTTCTAGTATTCCATTAGTCTACCAAACAAGAACATGGAAAATTGGAGAGTATATCACCAAAATGAAGTACTAGTAAAGTTCTAGAGTGCCATTTTAACAGTAACTTGCCTGCATACTTTTATACAACTGAGAACTTCAAGAAAATCTTCAATTTTGCCTCAACCATATCAGTACTTTATTCCAAGTTATTTTATTCATTAAAAAAATGAAAAGAAAACTATTATCGATGTCATTTTGCAAATAATGAAGCAGAATCATTGCATGTAGAAAACTGAATATACAACGTATATAAAAAAAAAAGGATAAGGAAAACCAATAGTATGCAAGTATCTCACCATCCTGCTTTTCTTCAATTCTTCATCACTGTCATGATACTCGTCAACAGCAGATTTCCTGGCAAAAAAGGTTTGAACTGTCATTTCTTATAGAGCATTCTAAAAGTAAATCCACAGGAAAGAAGAGAGCACAAAACCCATCAAAGTTCAGACAGCAATTGCACTCACCTTCTCTTCATAGCAGTTCGGTCATCTGCATTTGCATCAGAATTACCATAATCAGGAACCTTGCTCACCACGTCCTTCAGAAAATCAAACATGCTGAAGCTATGTATACAGTGTTTTCTGCCACCACCCATTAAGAAAAAATCAATAGCTGAACAAATTGAGACAGGGAAAAATAGATGGTGACATCAGATGGCAATTTAAACCCCCTGAGAGAACATTATGGTTGTCCGACAGTGTTCTCATGCCACACATAAAACCCTCCTCCACAGAAAAAGGCAAAACATAAACAAGAGTATTAGAAATGCAAACAGTAAACAGGTTTCATGGGACTATGGGAGTATTTAATCTGATTAGGTGTATGGGGCTCCCTATTGTTAAAGGGCACCTAGGAACCAATCTATTTTTGTTTCTAAATAATCTCAAGCTTTCACAAGGAATCACTGATCCCCAAAGCCTAATTCACAAAAGGATTACTAATAAATGGCAGTACTGTACATAGAAGCACATATATGTCAGAAACTAATACACAAGCCATATACACAAGAAAAGCTTGCAATAGAGAAGTTTACATGGCCCAGAAGCCCCTGACTGAATCTTCTCTTTTGGGCAGTTTCTTCCAAGAAGACGATTGGCGAATTCCTTGTTCCCAGCAAACACCAGAGATCATGTGTCACAAATAACTTTTTTAGTCTCACTAAACCATGATTTTTAAAGCACAAATGAGCATCTCACAGTCTCACTACGTAACATCATATGCCAGGATAACTTATAACAAAACCAACTTTCACAACCCCTTGTCAAACATGATTATAGGGAAATGCTATCAATATGCAAAATCCTACAAAAGAATTATCTACAGTCCTTCACTAGTCAAATAAAAATCTCAAGGTAATTACCCTTGCACTAACATTAAAGATGTCAAAAAAGGAGCATTCAAATTAAAGCTGGTAAAAGACCAGTACTCATTTGAGATAAGTCTTAATGAATATTTCAGTTTTATACATGGGCAATGCGTATACTTCTACATTATCTAGGCTTCTAAAATTTTAAACTATGACACTTATAATAGCTGCTTGGTAATAGCTCTTAAGATGAAATGACAATTGGCAAAAAAGTCATGTCATAAAAAGGTATTCCATTAAGCAGTTAATCCGTACAAGCAACAAGACTACTATTAAGCAATATATGACCCAATTAATCACCTTTCAATTCTATTTGCCTCATTCCATTCTCATCCTCAGCCTTAGTGAAAATGAAAAGGAAAATAAATACTTATTCTCACCCTCGTCACAGTGGATTCTTATTGTCAAACCATTACTTCGAATTACCTTCTAGTATTTAGGGAATTTTTAGAAGCTAGGCAATTATGGAGTAAATGATATAACATCCCCCACCTATAATTAAAAGGGTAAATAAAAGCGTATAAATCCAATTATTAATACAAACCATAAAATGAGCAGCAAAAGAAAATCCACTACACTTACATGACAATGTCAAAAAGCCAAAATAGTTGCCAAGTATTTCCTATTATAAGATTTAGCATAAATATACTTTTCATATAACCCACTTTGACCATACTTTAATATTATACTTCCTCTGTTCCCCTAATATCGCAACAATGGGGGAAGACATAGAATTTAAGATGAGGAGAGAGATAGAGAGAAATAAATATAGGGACCCATAGTATGAGGAGAGAGATAGAGAGAAAGTATGAGAATATATGGTAATGTTGCAATATTTGTGAAACTATCTAAAATGATAATTGTTGCAATATTAGGGGAACGGAGGAAGTATATCAGTATGTAAGATGATGTTAGTTTAATCGTAATAAACTACTACTCACTTTCCGTTTCTAGGTGTTTCAGAAAGTTCGATGATTCACTTTTACTTCATTGCACTTAACAAATTCGTTTTACTACCTTACTCCATTTGTGCTCTTAATCCTACACTATTTACACCTTTCAACCCTTTCACTTATTTTTACTAGAGTGGCTAGTTATATCCCGGTAGTTTTTTTTGCTTGGTCTTATATCACAACTTTAGTTGTTTCCGGAATTAAGAGAAAATAGGTAAACAAATATTTTAGCGTATAAATGCTCACACACTATTCTTAAGAATTTTATAAAAAATAGAGCCAATTAACATTAATGAGGGTAAATAAGTAAATAAACAAAGGGTATAATTATCTCAAGTTCTCAACATTATTCTTAAAAATGGATCAAATATATTTAAGGGTAAATGTATAAATAAATACTTTAAGGGGCATAATTGTCTCTAAACTATTCATAAGTGTAACAAATATAATATAAGGGTAAGTATGTAAATCAACATATTAAGGGATATAATTGTCTCAACACTATTCTTAAGCGTTTAGTCATACTTTTAAAAAGGTAGGGATACACTATTTTCTTACACCCACTCATTTTACCCAAAATTGCTTAGAAATAACAATCTGAAATAAGTGAGTCGAACTTTAAAAAATATTGGAGTATATTTTCAAAAAATTAATTTTTTATATAGCTTTTACCAATATCAATTAAAGATGATGATGGGCAAAGTTGTGCATAGGCAAGCGTGTGCAATCAAAGTGTAACAAGTTATATGTATTCATTTGGTAGATGTCCGTTCACTTAAGCAACTAGACTACCTTTAATTATTTTTAATCACATCAAAACCATCTGAAAGCTTGATTCACCTATATAAAATATACAATTAGAGGACCTCCAATAGGTAGTGCCAAACAACCAAAGATTAAAAAAAATTCCACACACACCGCATAAGAGCTTAAAATTGCAAGACAGTCAACACTTAGTAAAATATAAGGCCAAAAAAATCCATATGTTAACTTACAGATGAAGAGAGCTCATAGTTTTGGCTCCTCTTTGAAGGGTTATGTCATAAGTACGATCACAAAGGTCTTGCAGAAACAGTTCCAATGCCTTTGCTGCACAATATAAATTCAGATTGAGCACAAAATCATAATTTCAAGTTTCAAAACCTAACACTTGATGCTACTTACAAACTAAAACAGGAACTGCCATCGCTATCTTCCCAACATCTTCATCAGCTTGCATAATCTTTTTTATCCGAGCCTGCCAATTCAATCAAGAAGATATCATTAAAAATTGACCCATCAAAAGTGTACCTTTGATAATTATCACATCCTAATAATTGCATATGAACACTCATATGTAAATACAATACTGTGAAGCATTAAGAAACCAAATTTGCAATGGGCTGTAATTGACAAAAAGCCAATGTGCAATAATGATCTCAGTAGCAAAAAAAAATATTGTGCGTATAGGGAGGAGGGCTAGAAAAGAAAAATGCCTTCTTCGGATAAGAAGATAATGAGATCCAAAAAATTTGGAGGGAAGAAGATTTAGAGTGCAAGAGATCAATTGTGCCTTCATTGATGTTATGTTGGAGAAAGAGGGGAGGAGGGGGAAATTAAAATTAATCCAAAACCTTTTCCTCTTTCAATGTACTATGCCCTTCCAAACTTGGAAAGATTTGGATGGAAACTAATTACGCATCCTTTCCTTCCCCTCCTCTCCCTCTGTTCTCTCCATAACAGTTATCCAAAAACACAGTAAAGTGGACAGTAATCCCTAAACAAAAGAAAAGGGGGAAGGGTGGGGGGGGGGGGGGGGGGCTGACCATTTTATCTTACAAGGGACCCAGAGTTTAGCTTTGCTTATTGTTAAGTTATTGGGCACTTTTGTCCAACAAATTAATTGCCCCGAATTCATTCGTCAAAGTATTTCACAGCGAACACAATTACAAAAAGCTACTCCATAATAACTGCAGTAACAACTCAAATGTGGGCGTATGAAGGGCCAACAATTTAATACTGAAATTTAAAACCAAAAATCCAGGGGTGCACAGATAAATCTCTCCAAGAAACTAGCCAGTGATAACTAAGATTAAAAAAAATTAACCCAGTAAATCATCCCAAATGCCAAATCTGGCTAATACACAGACCAACTTCTGTAAGCGTAACATCCCAAATGCCATATCTTGCAGTGAAGTCAGCACATAATACTCAGCATATTTATTGAACTCATACAAAAAATTCCAAATCACATTAGCTTCAACGATCAAAAGCATCATCAAACTAATTACACGATTAATAACAATCTCTTTAAGCCATATCGGGACAAATAAACAGATATAAACATATCAGCATCCTGAAGCACACAGCTCAGTTGAAAAATTCAGCATATCCTTCCTCTAATTGCAACCTTTTGACATAATGATTCAACTTTCAAACCCAATCAAGCCTTCACAGTTCACAACCTTTCCTACTCCTCCATTCATGAAGATCAACAACAGCAGAATACAAAAATATCATCATCAAAAGTCAAAACTATCAGAAAACTAATTTGATTTTGACCCCTAAAAATTAGCACCACAGAATTTTTCCAACAAAAAGCAAATTCAACCATATTGAACCAATCAAACACTCAAAGTAAGGCAAATTGAACATGACCCAGATCATATTATCATAAAAAGCATCAATCTTTTAGCCAAAAATATGATAAAACCTACTAAATTCGACAGAATATGAAACACCCAAATCCTTTTATCCACAAATTTAATAATCTAAACACCAAAACTTTCACAAAATCCACTTAATTTATAATAGTATATAACAATCAAATTTACAACCCACGAAAACCAAGGATTAAAACATAGATTAAAAAAATACCCATAAAAATTCAGATCTGGTTACATAATCAGAACAGATCAATAATAAATTAAGAAGAAAAAAAAATTAAGGGAAGAGGAGAGAGAAAGAAAGAAACATACAGCAGGGAAACGAGTATCGAGCTTCTTCCTCATGGTTTCTTCAGAATTTTCTCGTGAAAAAGGACAAATATATTTAAATTTATTAAGAGAAAAAAATAAAACAGGGATTTGCAGAAATAGATCAGAAGATAAACAGTAGAATCGAATTAAGCAATTTTAGGATCAATTAAAAGTGTTTACAGAGCTTTAAAAGGGGCAAATTAGCGAAAAATACAAGGGTTTGAGGAAGTTAGAATTTGGTTTTGGTACGAGAAATAGAAAGACGGGAAGAAATTCGGGAAGATGTACATCCAATGAATTAATTTTTTTTATGTAAATAATTAAAAAAAATGTTATGGGGTCAAATGTACCAGATTAATGTAATTTTAAAAGACACATAGACAATTAAGAGTTTACGGTTGTGTCTTAAAAAAAAAAATTAAAAAAAAAAAGAGTTTACGGTTTTTGTTGTCAATTACTGAGTATTTTGCTACGTTGTATTGGATAAGTTTTATCATTCACTAGATGGAAGCCCGTGCGATGCACGGTTTTTTCATCTATTTTTAATTATTTGATTTATTGTATTTAATAATTTCAAACAATAAAAGTTTAATATTTTTTTTTACCAATAATTTATAATGAATTTATTAAATATAAATAAATTGTAAATATGATATTTTTTTCAATTATATAAAATGTTTTAATGTGAAATGATAAATTTTTAATAATTTAAACCCTAAATCATTATTCATTATTTTACCATATCTTTTATTTCGATAGAATCACCAACCTCGTCCACAACCAACCTCCTACATCAATGGATAAAAATGTTAGCCAAACCGAAATTGATGTAAATTAAATCTTTACATTTATATAAAATAAATCAATATACTTACCAATAAATGAAAAATTATTGCGATATAAAATTAAATCTATGCATTGGAATTTTTTCATCATCTCTAAAAATAACCAAAGCCACTCATATATTAAGTATACAACATCTAATCGTATGCCATTACATAAACAAATAATTGTTAAGTATCCTAAATAAATACAATGTAACTAATAAGATTTTAAAAATTACCCGGTCATTGATGACCTAAAACTAACACAAAATTCGCTTGATGGGGTATTGTATTGAGATACGAAATTTTATTTGTGTCGTATGATATGTTAGATTTACATGTAAAAAAATATTTTGTAAATAAAACATAAACATATAATCGTTGAGTATCCCAAATTAATACAATGTAAATAATAATTAGAAATACTAATTTAAACATAGGATTTTAAAAATTAAGCTAAAAATTACCCGACTATTGATGACCAAAAATTAACACAAAATTACTAACAAAAAATTCGATTGATGGGGTTTTTTATTGATACAAAATTTTGTTTGTGTCGTATGATTTGTCAATTTATAATGGTAGGTATCACAAATTTTAATTTAATTATAATTAACGAACAATTTGTATTTCTTATCATAAATACTATCAAAATTTATCTTATGTGATATATTTCAAACGTTATTATATGCGTTTATCATTTAAATATTTTTAGTATATTTTTTTTTGGATTTCTTATACTCGTAGTATTGAATTAATAAATTTATCTTTTCCTATATTTTTACTTTATTTTTTTTCATTAAAATAATTTAATTCGTGCATTATAATCTACGTGGCATTGAAAGTTTAGATACTCCCTCCGTTAAATATTATCTGCCACCGAAGTGAAGTTTACGGTTGCCAATGCAAAACTTGAGGGGCATTGATTAGAGCAATTGTTGAAAAGTAATTAAAGTAATGAATGAGAGAGAAAGTAGGACCCCCCACATGCAAATTCTGGCTGGAATTTAGCAAGTGGAGAGAAACAACTTTCCCTCCCAAATTGTGAACGAAAATTTCAGCAACATTTGAATTTCATTAAATTTGAAAATTCACCCAAATTTCAAGCTAACAATATTCTCTTATAAGAGGCAATTTCAGCAGGCATACACCATTTATGAGGGGTATAAAACCAGCCTCTATAATGGCAGAACATTAAATTCTTACATCCAAATGTTTCTCACCAAAAATCGACATTGTTTAAACAAAAGAACCAGCACTTCCTAATCTGAAATTTCACAAAAAATTACCCTAAACTACAGTTAGTGATGCACATCTTCTACCACAATTAGCATTCAACCTCCATTGACTTCATATCCACATAGGGCAACTCCATCTTCCAAAAAAAATCATCAGCCAACCCTGTTCAACTTCTTAGCTCTGAACACACACACACAGAAGAAAACATGGCAGATTT